TGTATACCCAAAATTCTGAGAGGAGAATGGAGGAGAAGAGATTGCAGTGTGGGCAACCTCTCTGGGGTAAGATTTCTTACTTTCTGTCTCTCCATCAAGCACATGTGCCCTATAGCAAAAATCTCTTAAAATAAAAAAAAACGAAAGAAAAGAAAAACAAAAAGGAAAAGGAAAAGAAGAAAAGGGAAAAGGAAAAGGAAAAGGAAAAGAAAAAAAGAAAAAGAAAAAGAAAAAGAAAAAAGAAAGAAAAAGAAAAAGAACGCATATACACACGGGCTCTTCATTATTTGGTTTCTGCTACTCCACTACACATCTAAATCCCTTCATACCATTCAGCTTGTTCTAACTTGTTGACATACTGTGTGACATTTGACCTTTGTAAATACTGTTTCCCCTAAAAGGGCCCCTCCACCTCTTATATACAAGGTCAGCTACTATTTGCTCTTCAAGGTTAACTCTGGTATTATTTCCTTTTGTCAGTTAATGCCCTTGACTTCCTGGTGTTTACAAGCCCACTAGGTGTGTCTTCATTACCACATTCATCCTCTGACACTGTAATAATCTGGTGTTTTTTTGTTTTTGGTTTTGGTTTTTTTTTTTTTGTCTGATTCTCCCAGTAGATCAAAAAGTTCTTTAAGAAAAGGGTGGTAAATTATTTCTTTATCCCTAGTTCCTGTTTGAATTTCTAGGTTACGATCAACTAAAATTTGTTGAAGACACATTTAAAAAAGGAGTTTCGAAATTTCTCAGATTGGGATTACCTTATGCCTTTGCCAAAATTTCTAAAAATCCAACAAGACAAAGCATTGGAAATGTGGATTCTGAGGGGAAAATGTCACCTCTTTAAGCAATAATTGAGAGGACAGTACTAAGAGATTAAGGAAATAATCCTCTAAATCAAATTACAAATAGTGCGACAGACTTAGTCTTCAAAGAGAGAGTGCAAAACATCTTTTACTATAGATTAAGGAGGGAAAAAAATTCTACTTAAAGTTAGAAGAATGCTGTTTTAACTTTAAAATTCCAATTAACCTACAGCAGACACCCAATATCATGAACATAGTGAGCCTGAAAAAAGCCATCCCTTATTTAGAGGTTTTTATCCCCCTCACTTTTCCAAATGAGGAGAGATTAACAAGCATCTAATTTTTGTTAAAGAACATTAAAACAACCCCTTCAACCTCCCAATTTTTATAAATGACTTTTCTTACAGGCACCCATTTGGCTAACTTAATGGCCCTTTAAATTCTCACTGATACTGTGCTTTCATTTTCAGCCCTGGGTTTAATAGTTTCAAGCCCTTCTGTCGTACTGTTCACATTCCATCCAAAATAATTATACCTTTTTTCACTGCACTAGCTGCAAGCTCATAAGTGAACTTGTGTGTTCCTGGGATGACCCACTGTGTGCAAAGGAGAGAAGCCTTAGTCTGTATTTGCCTGCCTCGTCTAAGCAATACACAGAATCAGTGCTTTCCTAAGTGGTAAAATTCAGATAAAAATTATTTCCTTGTATTTTTCCTAGAGAGATGAATAACTGATATACTGAATATCAGTGGAAACAACCAATTCTATAAAAAATAATAATTAATGTGGTTTATTTCTAAGCACAAGTATGAGTGATCGACCCAGAGAAAAGCAAATGTGTCTTTCTCAGGGTGCTCAGATACAAGGTTCCTTTTATTTGATTTTGAGAGTGAGAGACAAAGTTTGGAATTTAGTCAAAAGAGCTTTCTTATTAGCCTGGCCCAAAAAAGGCCAGGTATCTGTAAGTGAAGGTGGGAGAGGGCTAGGGGGCTGGGGGATCTTGTAGATTGGTGACAAGAAAAGGAAAGTATGCCCAGATCAGCAACAGAATGTCCTTTAACAAGAGATAGGGAGGCTTAGCATACATCATGAAGATACTATGTCAGGTACCAGATGTAGTAAGAGTCCTGTTATCAATGGCTAAAATGGTCTGTTAATGTTTGTGGGTGTGCCTCTCTCCAGGCTCCCCGAAAAAGATTTTGGAAATACAAAAACTTGGCCAGACTTCTGGCCTAATGAGAAAGGAAGAGCAGTAGGTTTTGATCAGATCGTACAATTTGTTTTGGCAAGAGCTGATTCTAAAGACAGGGCATTTCAAACTGATAAGAGGCTTGTGATTTCCCTCCTCCTTGCCTGATTTGTACATTTCTTTTTTCTTTCAGCTTCAGATTTTAGACTTTACCTTTTCTTGGCTTCTTTTCTTATTTTTTTCTTATTCTTAAGCCTCTCCTTTAATAATATTATTTTCCAATATGTTTTGTTTTCATTTGCTATAGGGTGTGTGTGCTAATCAGAGAGACAGAGGAAGAGAGGAGGAAGTGAGAAATCACACCCAAGTGGGGGTGGCAACACCACAATCCCTTCTCCTCCATTCTCCTCTTGGGATTTTCAGCATGTATGCACACTTGCCCAGTGTGTTTCTCAAGCCACTGGCTCTGGGACTCAAGCCATACAGTTGGCCATGTGGGATCCAGCTGCCTTCACCCCCATGCTATCAGCTGGTCCAATGTCATTGTTTTCTCTCCATTCTCCATATCAGTAAGACCAAGATGGGTATTCTCAAACCTGGTGGGGATTTTTTGTTTGTTTGTTTCATCTATTTTACTCTAAAAGCTTTACTTATGATTCCTTCTCTTTATTCTTTCACTTGCTCTTGACAAAATCCTTAAATTTTTGTTTTGATTTGTGATACAGAATTTTTGTTTGTTTTGTTTGGGAATTTCACATTAATCAATAAGAGAACAGTAAGGCTGCAAATATTCTCAGTAATCACTTAATCCTGTCTACTCATTTTCTTTATGACAAAACTAGAAGAGACAGAAAAAAGTATTTTCCTGTGTCGGCTTAGCACCCTAGTTTGTTGCTGGTATGACCAGTGCTAGAACTGATGTTGGTTAACTTCTTAACCAATCCATTATGTATATAGCAATATAGTGGTGGTGGTTATATTTCTCTTACACGTACACACTCTGTATGCCAAAATATAAATAGGTATGACTATATAAAAGAAATGCCTAGAAATAAATTGCATTATGTTAAGATAGAAAAATAGGTACACTAAGATCTTCCTCAGGTTTTTACTCTATGATATATCTTAACATGATTTCCTATACAAAATTAGCTTGTTATTCTGGACAACAGGATTATTATTTGTCCTACATATTTATGCTTTCCTGCCATTTACAATGGCATATTAGTTGAAGATAACCAAAATATCTACAGGGGCAATATTGTCTTTCTCAGGGTGCTGAGATACATAGACCTTCCTCATGGGTTGTTGTATACCTAGATGAAAATTAGGAAAGTGTTGATAGGAGTTCTATGGGTCAATATTTATTAACTGCAGATACTTTCTCTTCAATTCACTTCAACTAGGCTTTTGCCAACATTTCTTCACCATAATAGCTTTTGTGTAAAATCTCCTCTTACTTAGAGACATTGCCAAATTAAAGAGTCAATTTTCAGTACTTCTATGTGACTAAGAAGCAGTCAGTTTGAAAAAGCTGGTAAAATCCCTCCACTATGAAACATTTTCTTCATTGAGTTTCCAAGAAATCATACCGATGTTATTTTTATCCTTCCTCACTAGTCAATCTGGTTTCTCTTCTCAGTTTCTTAATATTGGAACGTTCTAGGAAACTGCTCTGTGGTTCCCTGCTACTCTCTGAATAACTTACTACCTGTAGTTCAATGACTCCATGAAATTAAGTTTTATTTCCAGATCTCACTCATAAATTCCATGCTAATGTACTCTACTGCCAACTTCATGTCCCTGCTTGGATGTCTGATAAGTATCTCCAACTCAGCACATCCGAAACTCACATTGTTTATTCCCTTAAAATCTACTCTACTGATGGCATTCTCATAACAGCTGATGACAATTGCTA